ATAGTAACAGAAAATTTCCCTGATATAGGGAGGAAAAAACTCACACAAATCCAAGAAGCTCACAGAGTCCCAAACAAAATGAACCCGAAAAGACCGACACCAAGGCACATAATAATTAAATTGGCAAACACCAACGACAAAGCAAGAATCTTAAAAGCAGCCAGAGAGAGACAGAAAGTTACCTACAAAGGATCCCCCATCAGACTAGCGACCGATTTCTCAACAGAAACACATCAGGCAAGAAGGGAATGGAATGAAATATACAAAGTCATGCAAAGGAAGGGTCTGAATCCAAGAATACTATACCCAGCGAGGCTATCAATCAAAATTGAGGGTCAAATCAGGAGCTTCACAGACAAAAACGGTATACGGGAGTTTATTACAACCAAACCAGCAATGCAAGAAATGCTACAGGGTCTGCTGTAAATAGAAAAAACAGGAAACAAAGAAGGAACGCAGCGGTAAAGAACAAAAATGGCGACCAACAAGTTTCTATCAATAATAACTTTAAATGTAAATGGATTAAATTCCCCAGTCAAAAGGCATAGGGTAAATGAGTGGATAAGAAAACATGACCCATATATCTGCTGTCTACAGGAAACCCACCTCAGAAAAAAAGATGCACACAGACTGATGGTGAAGGGATGGAAAAAGGCTTTTCAGGCCAATGGAAGTGAAAAAAAAGCCGGGGTAGCAATACTTATATCTGACAAATTAGATCTCAAAGTGAAGGACATAAAAAGAGATCAAGAAGGCCACTTCATAATACTAAAGGGAGCAGTCCAACAAGAAGAAATAACTCTGGTAAATATATATGCACCCAATATAGGAGCACCCAAATACGTAAGAAATCTTCTGGAGAAGATCAAGGGAGAGATTGACAGCAATACAATCATAGTAGGGGATCTTAACACCCCATTATCTCCACTGGACAAATCCTATAAACAGAAACTCAGCAAAGAAACATCAATCCTAAATGACTCACTAGATCAGATGGAATTAATTGACATCTTCAGAACATTTCACCCCAAAGTCACAGAATATACATTCTCCTCGGGTGCACATTTGTCATCTTCAAAGATAGACCATATATTGGGTCACAGACAAAGTCTCTTCAAATTCAAGAAAATTGAAATGATATCAAGTATCTTCTCAGATCACAAAGGCATAAAACTGAAAATCAACTACAACAAAAACAATCCAAAAAAATCAAACACATGGAGACTAAATAGCATGCTATTAAACAACGACTGGGTCACCAGTGAGATCAAAGAAGAAATAAAAAACATCATGGCAACAAATGACAATGAAAACACAACAATCCAAAACCTATGGGACACAGCAAAAGCAGTCTTGAGAGGGAAGTTCATAGCTCTACAAGCCTACTGCAAGAAACAAGAAACAATGAGAATAAATGACCTAACTCTACAACTCGAAGAATTAGAAAGAGAGCAACAAAAAAAGCCCACTGTAAGCAGAAGGAAGGAAATAACAAAGATCAGAGCGGAGATAAACGACATAGAGACCAAAAAAACAATACAAAAGATCAACAAAACCAAGAGCTGGTTCTTTGAAAGGATAAACAAGATTGATATACCTGTAGCCAGGCTCACCAAGAAACAAAGAGAGAGGACCCAAATAAACAAAATCAGAAATGAAAGAGGAGAAATAACAACAGACCCCATAGAAATACAAAGGATTGTTAGAAAATACTATGAACAACTCTACTCCAACACACTAGACAACCTGGAGGAAATGGACATATTCCTAGATAAATACAACCTTCCAAAACTTAACCAGGAAGAATCTAAAAATCTCAATAGGCCAATAACTATGGAGGAAATCGAAGCAGTAATCAAAAAGCTTCCAGCAAACAAAAGCCCGGGGCCAGATGGCTTCACAGGGGAGTTTTACCAAACATTCAAGGAAGACCTAAAACCTATCCTCCTCAGACTATGTCAAAAGATCCAAGAGGAAGGAGCACTTCCCAGCTCATTCTATGAAGCCAACATCACCCTAATCCCAAAACCAGATAAAGACAATACAATGAAAGAGAATTACAGGCCAATATCCCTCATGAACATAGATGCCAAAATCCTCAACAAAATCCTAGCAAATCGGATCCAGCAGTACATCAAAAAGATCATACACCATGACCAAGTAGGATTTATCCCAGGGATGCAAGGATGGTACAATATCTGCAAATCAATAAACGTGATACATCACATAAACAAATTGAGAGAGAAAAACCACATAGTCATATCAATTGATGCGGAAAAAGCATTTGACAAAATCCAACACACTTTCTTGATAAAAACTCTCAGCAAGATAGGAATTGAGGGATCATACCTCAACATAATAAAAGCCATATATGACAAACCCACAGCCAACATCATAATCAATGGGCAAAAACTAAAACCATTCCCCCTAAAAACAGGAACAAGACAGGGATGCCCCCTCTCACCACTCCTGTTCAACATAGTACTGGAAGTACTAGCCATTGCGATCAGACACGAAGAAGAAATAAAAGGCATCCAGATTGGAAAAGAAGAAGTAAAACTGTCCTTATTTGCAGATGACATGATACTGTACATACAGAACCCTAAAGACTCCATCAAAAAATTATTAGACTTAATAAATGAATTCGGCAATGTAGCAGGATACAAAATTAATGCTAAGAAATCCATGGCATTTCTTTACACCAATAGTGAACTTACAGAAAGTGAAACTACAGAAGCAATCCCATTTACCGTTGCACCAAAAAAATTAAAATACCTAGGAATAAACTTAACTAAGGAGGTAAAAGACTTATATGCTGAAAACTACAGGACACTGAAAAAAGAGATAGAGGAAGACATAAACAGATGGAAGAATATACCGTGTTCATGGACTGGTAGAATCAACATCATCAAAATGTCCATACTACCCAAAGCAATTTATAGATTCAATGCAATCCCCATTAAATTACCAACAGCATATTTCACAGATCTAGAACGAACGTTCCAAAAATTCATCTGGAATAAAAAAAGACCCCGAATAGCTGCAACAATCCTCAGAAAGAACAAAGTAGGTGGGATCTCAATACCAGATATCAAACTGTATTACAAAGCCACTGTTCTTAAAACAGCTTGGTACTGGCACAAGAACAGACATATAGATCAATGGAATAGAATAGAGACCCCAGAAATCAATCCAAACCACTATGCCCAATTAATATTCGACAAAGGAGGCAAGAACATACAATGGAGTCAAGACAGTCTTTTCAATAAATGGTGTTGGGAAAATTGGACAGATACATGCAAAAGGATGAAACTAGATCACCAACTCACACCATACACAAAAATAAACTCAAAATGGATAAAAGACTTAAACATAAGACGGGAAACCATAAAAATACTAGAGGAATCCACAGGCAGCGAAATCGCAAACATATGCCGAAGAAATTTCTTCTCTGATAATGCTCCTAGGGCAATGGAAACTAAAGAGAAAATAAACAAATGGGACTACATCAAAGTAAAAAGCTTTTGCACAGCAAAGGAAACCATCAACAAAACAACAAGAAGACCCACTACATGGGAGAACATATTTGCCAATGATACCACCGATAAGGGTTTAATTTCCAACATTTACAGGGATCTCATGAAACTTAACAAAAGGAAGATAAACAATCCAATAAAAAAATGGGCAACGGACCTAGATAGACACTTTTCGAAAGAGGACATACAGAAGGCCGAAAGACATATGAAAACCTGCTCAAAGTCACTAATTATACGAGAGATGCAAATCAAAATGACAATGCGTTATCATCTCACACCTGTCAGAATGGCTATCATCAACAAATCAACAAACAACAAGTGTTGGAGAGGATGTGGAGAAAAAGGAACCCTTCTGCACTGCTGGTGGGAATGCAGACTGGTGCAGCCACTGTGGAGAACAATATGGAGCTACCTCAGAAGACTAAAAATGGAACTCCCATTTGACCCAGTGATCCCACTACTAGGAATATATCCCAAGAAACCAGAAACGCCAATCAGAAAGGATATATGCACCCCTATGTTCATAGCAGCACAATTCACCATAACTAAGATTTGGAAACAGCCTAAGTGCCCATCAGCAGATGAGTGGATTAGAAAACTGTGGTACATATACACAATGGAATACTATGCTGCGGTAAAAAAAAAGGAACTCTTGCCTTTTGCAACAGCATGGATGGAACTGGAGAGCATTATGCTAAGTGAAATAAGCCAGTCAGAGAAAGATAAATACCACATGATCTCACTCATTTGTGGATTATAGAGAACAACATAGACTGATGAAAAGGGACAGACTCAAAGACTGAGAAACATCAATCAGGCTATCAATCCCCAGAAGGAAAGTAGGGGAGGGCGGGGGTAAGGGGAAGAGATCAACCGAAGGACTTGTATACATGTATATAAGCCATACCAATGGACATGGACAACAGGGGGATGGGAGCATGAGTGTGTGTGGGGGGGAGGTTGGGGGTTAATGGGGGGGATGAGGACACATTTGTAATACCTTAACTAATAATAAAAAAAAAAAAAAAAAAAAAAGAAACTATTTAACGGGCTACAATCCCCAAATCACAACAAACCCTACAATCACCCTACTAAAAATTGAAATAATTTAAAAAAATAATAATAATAAAATAAAATAAAATGGCTACTGTTTGAAGTCATTAAATTTGGGATAACGTGTTACAAAGCAATAGATAATTGGAATATATTCCTTCTCTCCTTCTAAAGCTAGCAAAAGCCAAAGGCAGCCATGCTAGTGTAGCTAGTCCTGTACTCAGGTGGCTCTGCAGATAGTGCAGGCAGAGGCTGGGACAAGAAACTCATTCTACTTGAGAGGTCTGGAGCAGGGCGTTGGGCCTCTAATGCTTCTAGAGGAAGATTTACCCTAATGGCTAGCAGCTACCTAGCCAACAGCTTTGGCAACAAAGGCCACAAAGCGCCACCAAGCACCTTGGAAGACCATACCTGCCTCATGAGCTCCTCTTGACGCATTCGAATCCTCTCTCTCTCCATCTGGATCCTTTGAAGCCGGAGTTTCTGCTGCTGCTGCTGCTGAGTGGTCAGTGCGTTGGGCATACTCAGGAGCCCCGCTGCTGGGTTCTGAGTAGGGTGGTTCTGCTGGCTCAGGGTACTGGGTGCCATTTGCTGCTGGTGCTGGTGACTCATCACTGTGGGAGGGAGGAACATAGGAGATCAATGACAAGGGTCCACAATATCTTATCAAAAGGAAACCATCACAATGTTTGTGCTTTGGAGTATAGATTTCTGGGGTCCCTTCCAAAGTACTTCCCTGTCAATCGATACTGTTTAAGTAATTATCACCTTAACTCAATTCATGGAGCCTCAGATACTGGCCCCACTTCCTGACTCATTAGTCTCAGGTCTTGATCCCTGTTAAAAATCTTATTTCACACCTTCCCTTTGTCTATAATACATTTTAAGCCTTTCACAGAACATAGTGGCCACAACTAAATTCTACAAAGGTTAGTTAGCACTACATATGGCCTCATTTCACCAGGACACCTGGGTGTAGTGCACTTCCTCAGACCACCCGCATGTGAATGGTAGAGCTGCGGAAGCTGTGAGCCTCAGTGCTTGTTGGGTATGCAGCAATACCTAGGGTGAAGGAGAATCCATCTCACATGTAAAAACAGTGCCTGGGCCAGAGACCTGTACGCAGGTAGGGCCCCATTAGTGCTTTGTCTAAAAAGGATGCCCCAAAGAAGTGTGAGCTAAGCTTAGGAACAAGTAAATGATTGAGGGAAAGCATTTCAGTTTTTGCAAAGAGAAAAATTAGTGATAAAAAATTACATTAAAATGTTAATTGTGAATGGATAAAGTCATTAGAAATGTTTTAAGTTTTTCAAGTGTTTTAAGTTTTTCTGTTTATCTGCATTTACTACCATTTTTAATTTTAGCATGTCATACTTCACTTCAGAAGACAACTGAAAAATTCTCTAATAAATTCTATCATTAGCATTCTCACACAAAAAATGCATTTTAAAAGGTTCTAGTTTTTCTCAAAACAGCTTACCAGTCAAATTTACTTAACTTCTGCCTGGGCAATATGCTATAATAATGAAAACCATGCTTTTCAGTCTATTTGTTCCTAGGTCAGGGCCAAAGACAACAACTTCACACACAGAGAGAATTGGTTTCCTTAAAGAACAATTAATTTCATGGCAGGAACTTCCTCCAGCTAGGGGGAGAGGGTGTTAAACCATTCTTTTAAAAAAAATGTATTGATACACTCACTTAAATCTTTATTGTGTCCCCCACTCCGTGTATCAGGCAGTGGGCTTGTAGTTGGAACAGATAGCTCCTGCCCTCACAAGAACTAATAGGCTGTTGGAAAAAATGTGGGAAGAAATGAGGTGGGTTTTTATGTGTGGCAGTGGAACAATAGAATGATAGGCTTTGTAAGGAACTTTGGAGATCATCTAACCCATCCCTTCATTTTATGGCAGAGAAGAGGAAACCCAGAGAGGTGAAGGGATATGCTCTGGTTAGCAAAAAAACTATTTTCAAATTTGCCTCCTGAGACCCGGTCCACCTGTTCTTTCAACTGTCCTTGGCTGCCCTCTGCCTCACCTTAGACTGAAGAACAGGAACAAATGCTCAAACTGAGAGCAACCCTCTAAGCATAGGTTGCCTTTGACAGCAAGGAAGTACCACTGAGACAGCAAGTCATCAAAAGCTGTCCAGTTCACAAACAGGAAGGTTTCGAGGAGGGTTTGGCTAGATTGATAGCTCTCTGCTCAATAACGAGCTACTGCAGGGACAGGAATAGTCTGTCCAGAGTTCAGCTTTCTCTCCCAGGATTAAGCCCACCACAAAAAACTCTCACCCCCAGGCACCATCCCAGCACACAGGAGGCTCAGAAAATGATGTGATAAGTGAGTGAAAGCACCTGGGCATTTCTTATGTTCTTAGCTTGAGAACAGAAAAAAAAGTCGTGACTGGTGGCAAAAAAACTGAGTGTTTCATTTGCATAGCTTGCTAGAGCATAATTACGGTCTCCATTTGAAGGACTGAGGAGGAGGCCAGGGACTGTGCACAAGGGAAAAAATGTTCTTCAATACTTTTTCAAGTAAGACAAAGTCCAGCTACCGGGAAGAATTCAGTTCATTAGACCTCTTTCAAGGCAAGGGATGGTGATCATTTCCAGGTATAGTCGTTTGTGAACCTCCTGAAAAAAAGATGCTCCTATTTTTCTGAGATAACTAACAAAACAAATGCCCAATTGTGTTTATAAGAGAAATGTGTACATAGAATATTTCTATTATCAGAAACCCTCAGATTAGGAAAAAGAGGCTTGTAAAAGTTTTTGTTGGTAGTTCAGAGGTTAACTGTTAATTTTTATAACTCAGATACTTTGAACATTTTTTAAGAATGACTCAGGTCTGGTAAGTTATTGATATGACAAATAAATGGGTGCAGAACTGTCTTCAGTGGCCTGAGAAGACTCCTGCCAGTGTAGAAAATCCTGCCCCAGCTACTCAGTGGACTCTCACTCATCTCCACACAGCACGCAGACACTGCTCGGCACACTTCATCGATGTCTGCGTCCTTATCTGTGGGGTTTAAGACTTGGAGACGAGCTCTTCCAAAGCCACACCCTTGCTGGTTCCAAAGCACCAGCCACACAGAGCCGTCCAAGAGAGGAAAGGTGGGCATGCTGCTTTCTTCCACTTAATTCAGATTTGACCATTCAGACTAGACATCTTCAGTTATTAACTGTAGAGACTGAAAAAGAGCGCAACTTAGACAATGACTTTGTTTTCAAAGTAAGGCACATACAAAACCCAGCAAGCCTGTATGAGAATATTCACTTCATGCAGTCTATAACAGCAAAAGGCTAACACTTGTCCACCAATGGAAGACTGCGAGCCCTCGGTGAGAGGAGTTGTGTGTGCACTACTGCAGAGAATGAGGGAGCTCTGCAGGCACTTCCATGGAACAATCTCTAAGAAACATTGTTTGTAGGGGGAAATCCAAGGGGCAGAACTATCTGTATGAGCTCATCCTATCTGTAGTTAAAAAGGGGGGTCTGTGTACACATACAGCAAATTTCTAGAAGGACACACGAGAAACTAGCAACAGTGGTGACTCTAGAGAGGAAGCTGGGCGTTGGGGGTGGGAGGAGATCTTCCTTTTCCTCTTCTGTACTGTTTGAAGTTTCCCTATGTGCATTTATTATTTATGCAAAACTTAAACAAAATATGAAAGTTAAGAAAACATAAAACAAAACATGGTCATGTATAGATCAAACTCAATATTTTCCTGGTGGAGTGATAGGCGGTAGCCTCAAAATTATTTGAAAAATAATAAATAAGGCTTAGAATACAGTCAAGGTCATCAAAACTGAGTGCCCACCCCATACGACTCCTCCTTGTGAACATGAGGAAACCAGTACTCAGAGAGCCGGTGAGTTAGTCAAGGTCTCAAAGGGGTCGGGGACCTAGAAACCAGGTGTCCTAACTCAATTTAGGTGTTCACAATTCCACCTGCCACTCTGTTCCCTGGAGCTGTTCCACTTTGAACTGTCACTGAACCTTCTCTGAGACTGGAGCTTGTGGATGGCAGTTGAGGTTCTTTAAAAACGCTGCTTTTGTTAGCCACTCAGAGACAGTGCGGTAGAGGAGGCCAAGACAGAGAGACAGAGAGGAGGCCCGCAGAGGCAAGGGAAGGCGAAACACCTAGATTTGTGATGAACAAAATACAACTTGGGAAAATATTCCAGAACATTTTAGGGAAAGAAAATAGCTCAGATTTTAAAAAAAGGGCGGGGGCGGGGGAGAGAGTATCCCAAACACAGTGTCTGAAGCCAAACCAGTTAAGGGCAGACTGCCATTAAGTGCCTCAAAAAGGCTAAAGACCGCATCAGTTCTAGACTTTGCCAGTCCTCACACAAAGGAATAACCCAAACAAGATTTCTCCATTGAAGCAGGAATGAACCAAATCTAAAGCAGACAACGTTTTTTTCCTTTCCAAAAAGTCACAATTTAAATTTAAATCTACATTTCTCTTTCTCATTGTTTTCATCTTCTTTTCTATTTTCTTTCCTTTTTCCTTCAATACTTGGCTTTCTGTTCTGTGCTTGGAACTCAATAACCATACTCTGCAGCTATATGATCAAATATTTCTCTGCTATTACTCAACAGAATGAAACACCAAGAAACAGCAACTTCACAGCATCTGAGACAGGAACACCCCTTTGACTGAATGACTATGTCCTTGGTGAAGTTAGCAGTTAGCATGGGAATGGGTGTAGAGGAGGGGTGACATGTTGACATGACCCTCTGGTTAATGTTTCCTGGGACAAGATGCACTGTGTACCCTCTGACCTGTTCTAACAACACACTCGGTCACTTCATCTAGAACCCCCAAGAGGAGGCTGAAGGTCAGGAAATTCCCTGGACTCAATTCTAAGCCCGCATATCATCTGCTATTTAAGAAGCAGACATTGCTGAAGCCGGTTTGGCTCAGTGGATAGAGCGTCGGCCTGCGGACTGAAAGGTCCCGGGTTCGATTCCGGTCAAGGGCATGTACCTTGGTTGCAGGCACATCCCCAGTGGAGGGTGTGCAAGAGGCAGCTGATCGATGTTTCTCTCTCATTGATGTGTCTAACTCTCTATCCCTCTCCCTTCCTCTCTGTAAAAAATCAATAAAATATATTTAAAAAAAAAAAGAAGAAGAAGAAGCAGACATGGAAAAGGTACAGGTTTCACTCCTGAACTTTTGTCTTTTGCTGCACCAGGGAACACAGCGCAACAGCTCATAGTTAAAGTGCTTTGGCAGTGTCCCCAAGCCAGGAGCTGCAGACGAGGGAGGCCAATGCAGCAGAGACTGCCCAGCCTTCTGGAATGTCTGACAACTGTCCTTTTGGCCTTGGAGAGTCTTAGTGGCTTGCTTTTGTATGTTCTCAGTGTGCACGCATGTGAAGGCACACACCCATCCACCACCACCACACATAAACACACACACACACACACACACACACAACAACAACAACAACAACAACAACGACACACATAGCCAAGTGAGAAAAACAAGAAGTTAGGCTCATGTACAAAACCCATCATGGGCCTGCATGGGGTTGGCCTGGATAGATTATGGAAAAGAACCAATGTGCCAACGGCTAGAAGCCACACCTAAGAGCTAGAAA